AATCAAACATAGGCCACCATTATGCTTTGTCTGCTTGGGAGCAGGCATTCTTTATTGTCCACATGCCTCTCACTTCTGCAACCATATGATGTTTTTTTTTCTTTTTTGGTCCCCCCTAACAGAATTATTGCAAAACCCATGGGTCTTTTACACTTATTAACATATATTAATTCAGAATTTGCAAATTGCTCACATTTTAAGCCATTTTGTATCTTCTTCTATCAATTAAATTAAAATTTATGACACCGGAGATGCATGCGGTGTCCGATTTCCACCGTCCATCACTACTATTAATTTTTTTTTTATGACACCGGAGATGCATGCGGTGTACGATTTCCACCGTCCATCACCTACTATTAATTTTTTTTTAAAAAAAATTTATGGCGGTGATCGACGGTGGAGATCGGACAATGCATGCATCTCTGTATGCGGTGTGCGTAATCAGATGTCTTGTTGCATTAATGCTTCTTAGAGAATGTTTTTGAGTAAATTATTTGCTTTTTAACTCTTTATTTTACATTTTTTACTTTTCAAGCAATTAGAAGGTGGGTTGTTATGTCTAAATACTGAATGATGATAACTGATGATAGCATGAAATATATATATATATATATATATTTACATACATATCACACAACTTTTATGTATTTACCTGCATGACTAATTAAAAATTAATTTTTACATTTATAACACTTCTCATCTACATGTAAAAAACTGTATTTCTTAAAAAAAAAAAATTAATAAGTGAGTGTTATAATTATAAAAACTAAAAATTGTAGATATTAGATAAAAAATTCATAGATATTACGTGGCATGGATGTAAATGCCGCTAAGAAAATGAAGGTTTTTTTCGAACTTATAAAACAATATATATATTTTTTTAAATTTGAAAAGAGCATGAATATATCATTATTTATCTTTAAAATGAATATTATCTTATAAAGTAAAAAATATATATGTTTTTTCATATCATAATGATGAATTAGTGCTGGGCCCACCATGTTTCTCGTGTCAACTAGCAATAATCACCCAAAAATCCTGAGGATCACAGTTAGGAGGATTGAGATTTTATTTATTATTTATTTTAAATAATAAAGAAAAAAACTAGACAATTGATTATCATTAGTTTGGTAGGTGTCTCGTGATGCTGAGGAGTCATGATTTGCACTTGGTAGCATAAGAAAAAAAATGCGTGAATGAGATGGTGGCTCGGCCTATTCGCTCAAAATTGATCTGCATGAATCTCGAGGCAATCTAATTGTCTACATGAGCGGACTAGAATACTCCCGCTACTCTCCTTAATGAGTGGGTAATTATATAATTTTACATTTCTTCTTCTATCTTCTATGAAGAGGAGGGCATTTTCATGTATTAGGGGCTTTAAGATGGGTTTAAGAGTCTCGGGAACACCTCACTCATCCCGATGGGGCAAGTCTTCCTCTCTCTCTCTCTTCATATTTCTCTTCCTTGATTGTTAGGCTCTATCCTTTGGGCATGATCGCACAGTTCTTGATTCAAATCCTGAAAGGTGCGACAAGCATGATTTGTGTCATCAACAAGAAAATGAGCAACACCGACGAGAAATTCTATAGAGAAACTCTTCTAACAAAGAGCCCACAAGGGGAAATGACATATCATAGGATTTGCTTAAATTTTTTTCTGGCCATCGGCGATTTCCACAAGACTTCATCTCTTTCCTGGTAGATCTGCAGGAATCAGATCTAGAAACTTCCAACGTTTCTACAGTAAAAATCCCCCACATCGGTCGTCTCCCCGTTGGCCATTGCTACTGCAGAAATTGCACGGAAATCTCCTGCCCAACCATTGTTGTCATGGAAAAATCACCGGTCTGCTGCTCTCACAGCATCACTACTCCCTCTATCGCGTGGATTTCACTACACTGCCATTCCTGTCTTGCTTATTTTACAGCGCCGCCACTCCTGTCTTGCATATTTCACAGCGTCGCCACTTCTGTCTCATGGATTTCACAACCTCTTCACCTCAGTCATGCGGAAAACGTACCTTTCGTCAGGTCAACTATCGTCCATCCAACTGGTCGACCAGCCTCTACCGACCAGTCTTCTTGCACACAAAAATCCTCACCGATTGGTCGCTTCTCCCTCTACCGAGCAGTCCTCTCACTCACAAAAATCATCACTGATCAGTTGCTTTTCCCTGTACCGACGACCCTTTCTCCCCATATATCCTCACCGATCGGCTGCTTCTACCTCTATCGATCAGGCCTCTCTCCCCAGAAATCCCCACCGGCCGACCATCTCACCTGTTGGCCACCTAAAAAAATAGAAGATTTAAATACATGCCACTCAATTCATCGGTATGTCTCAAGTCGACCACCCTGGCGAGCAACTTCACTCCTCTGTACATACTACTCAATTCGTCAAGGAGGGGTTTTTTATTTTGGTCTGTTTTTGTAGCTAAAATTTCCTTCTGATGACCCGTTAAAACTAATGGGATTACAATTAAAAAACTTTCTTACATTCAACATTTCAGATACATTTAATAACTGCTCCTTGCGTGTAGGAATTTAAGACAGTTTTTTTTTTTTTTTTTTTTTTTTGAATTTTGTCTTCTACAACTAACCCGATTTAAGCTAGCATTTGGGGAACTCGAACCTCGACAACAAAATCAACAATAATACCAAGAAAGACTAATCGGTTGAATGCATAAAAAAATGACCGGCAACGATTCCATAAATGTATAATCGGTAATAAGGATCAACCAGGGAACTTTCCTCACTACTACTAGTTCAAGTCCCGTAGCTTGGGTTGGACAAAAATCCAGAGATGGTTTCATGCCCGATAGTGACAAGCTCCGCGAATGATACAATGACATTCATCCTGGAAAGAAGTCTAGGCGGCCTCCTCCTATAGAGACGAAACCAAACCTAAGACAAAGGTCCTATCAAGCGACCAGAACCTGAGCAAGTGAAGGGCTATAACCTAGCTTCAACGCCCTAGATATATTCCGATCGTGGCATAAGCCCCCCAATTAAATAAAAATGGTCGACTAAGATGCCAAGATTGTTCGGCTGATCCCCTAAGTCACCTAACCAAATAAAAGCGATCAATGGAGACACAAGATTCAGTTGACCCCTTTATTTACACATCTGAATTGTGCTTATCCCCGAAGATGATGCCCTACCCTGAAGCGACTCAAGGGGTAAGATGCAATTATCTCAGAGGCTCATTCAGTGACTAATCGATTAATAATGGATATTGTGCTGCCAAGGTCCAAACACAAATCAAAGAATCAGTTCAAAAGAAAATGCTTTGGAGCTGACGATATAGCCCAAGAAGCTACCGAAACGAAACACAAAGAGCATCTAACCAGGGAGTATAATCATTAATTCATGTGATCTTGTTTTTTATTTTACAAATTTCTTTGTCTTTATCACAGTTGTCGCTATCAAAGAGCACGAAAATTGTTGAACTTAATATGTGCACCTCAAAATGATCTGCACGAATCTCGATACAATCCAACGGTCCAAATAAAAGGACTAGAATGCCCTCTATTGCTAGGGCTATCAAAATGGCTCATTGTTTTCTAACAGTACGTTTCCAACTCGTTAAGTAGCTTGTGTTTGATTCATTCGTTAAACAAATAAGTCGAACAAGAGCAAATTTTTTTGCGCTCGATATATAAACGAACAAAACACAAACAAAACAAAATTTTGTTCGTCCGTGTTTAACTTGTTTTGGCTCGAAATAATTAAACTATAAACACACACACACATATATTATATATATATATAAATATAATTTATGAGTATTATTTTTAAATAATCCAATTGATTGCAAGGCTACAAATATTTATAATCAATTAAAATTATCAAGTTAAAAATTAGAATAAATATATGTTAAATTATATTTAAAAGAATATTTCAATATAAATAATAAGATTTAAATTTCACCCTTAACTCTAATATCATATGACTGCGTGTCCAGGGTTACTAAAATATTTTTAAAATTATTAATTTCAAAATAGGATAAATATATGTTAAGTTATATTTAAATGAATATTTTAGTATAAATAATAAGATTTAAATTTCACCCTTACCACTAACATCCTATGACTGCGTGACAAGGGTTATTAAAACGACTCGTTGTTCGCGAACAACTTGTGTTCGACTCACTAAACAAATGAGTCGAATACAAACATATTTTTTGAGCTCAATATATAAACGAGTCAAACACGAATAGTGATGTTTTTTAATGAGTTAAACACCAACAGAGTGCTCTCGTTCAAGCTTGACTTGTTTATAACACTATGTGCTGCTTTCCTTAAAGCGAGGGTAATTATGTAATTCTATCATTATCTTTTATCTTCTATAAATACGAGGATCCTTTCATGTATTAGGAGCTTTTTGTTCCCCTCTTTTGTCACCCAATGATTCAAGGAAATAATATGGTTTGAAGATTTCCGTTAACACTATTAGACTCAATGAATGAAATTTTCCTCTCCCTCTCTCTTTCTCTTTCTCTCTCTCAGTCACCAAGCTCTATCCGTTGGGTATGATTGGGCATATATGGATTCAACATTCAGAAAGGAATGTCCCATGCTCAAAAATCCCCGATCCAGTAGGTATGTTATGTATATTACACACGATGAATGCATATTACACACCCGCAATATGATAGTCAAGGGTGTCCTGAGTTCTCGGGTTCTAATCATAAAAGTGTGCTACCAAACACTTGTAATAGGAATTACTCATGAATTTAACCTAAATCCAACCAAAGACCAAATAAAGAGAAAACGAAATCCAACTCTCTACCATTGTCTCTTTCTCCCGTTACATCTGCTGTGTAATTTAAATTTAAATTTATCAAATCCGACTGTGAGACAAATTAAACGAATTTACTTCATTATTGCTTACTTGCTATATCTCTATTCCGAGCTCAATTTCACGAATTTAGAAAATCCTACTTAAGCTTTTTTCGCTGTAAAAAAAGGTATATATATATATAAATCACCGTGCCGCAACGACCAAACCTCCAAACGCCATTAATGGACGAATCATGGAACATTCCGATGGGACTGATACTCCCACGTCGGCGATCTACCGAAGATTCTCGCCGGAACCCACGGGCTCCCGCCGACGGGCTGGACCCCAACGACTTCCGCGATGTCTTCGGGGGACCTCCGCGGACCGTTCTCCTCCGACGATTCTCCGGCGAGCTCTCCCTGGAGGGAGCGCGGAGGCCAGAATCGATCTACGACGAGATATTCCGGTCATCGGAGAGGGCAATACGTGATACAGGCCGACAGAGGAGGTTGCCGGGGTTTCAGATTCCTCCCGCGGCGGAAGGGAGCGTGAGGACGAATTTAGGGTTTTATGATGATATATTTGGATCGGACGGTGGAAATCGGAAGTCGAAATCGCAATCGATGGAGAAATTGAAGCCCTCGGAGTTGAGTCCTGCAAGGCAATGTCCGGGCGACGATGCCCTCTTCTCCACTTTTGCTTCTAAACTCAGGTGATAGTGATTATTTACCTTAGTTTAAGTGTTTGTTTGGATTAGTTTGTGCGTTTCAAGATAAGTAATTTATCCTGAAACGCGACCCGCAAGTCGACTGCTGAGGCGACCTGCGGCCTGCTTTTTAAAAATAAAACCACATTTTCGAATAAACAGACAAAACACCCGATTCAAACGGTACCAACATTTTAAAAATTGCTCCTGCATTTATAAACTACCCAAACGAATCCTAAGTTAATTTAACCTATGAATTTATACAATGACAACATCAGAATTGCATCAAAATTTCATGAAAAGAAATTCTTTGCTCTTGACACACGGAAAATTAAATTTACAAATTTAATACCATCACCATCATTGGGATTTCCTAGAAGTTTTAACTATCAACATACTATAGCTGATGTCCCTTTTTGTGCATGCCAAAGTATAAAAGATTAAATTTATGAAGCCTAACTTTATTAAATGCAACCGCCTAAGGTGCAATCATGTTGACAACCACACCAATACATGTGGGCCTTTATTGATTAGACCTAACCTAGAAGCAATAATTTTTTTTGTAAGGCCTAATATAAGAAAAAAATGAATTCATTTATAACAAGGATGTACTCCTTGTATAGATTATTGTACATGCACAATCTCATTGTCCATGAAATCCGGATGCATCAGGATAAATCAGGTTAATATTTTCTCATGAAATAGAACTATTTTGCACTATTTTTCTCAATTTTTTATTTTATAGAATACGCTAAAATCATAGCATTTTATAGAAAATTTAGTTTCTTAAACTCGAAATAATTTATTTGCATATGAAAGTTATGATCAAATTTTCATCCCTAACTCTTTTAAGTGATGCGTTAATTAATAATGGCAAAATTTAAAAAAAAAATAAAAAAAAAATCAAAGGAATTTGTAATAAGGGGCATTTAGATACATATCACCCAATTCCTATGTATTTACATATATCTTACCTTTAAACTTTATTTTTTACATTTATACCATTTAAATCTTTCATATCACATGAAAAATACTACCCTTTTAATTTTTAAAACGTGAAATATATCTTTCATGCATAGATAATGTGACATAAAAAAATTGAAATTTATGTGTTAGATATATAAATACATTAGTATTGAGAGGTATCTATGTAAATCTTCCTTAACACATAACTATGATACACATTTAAAACTTCTCTATGTTTCTCTACTTCTCTCTCAGGCCAATCACCATCCCAACTAGGTGGCACAACTCTCCCCCACCATCAACATGCTCCACCGTCGAGCCGCCGGAGAACCACCCTTGCTTTCCCTTAATGTCATGCTCCGTTGCAGATGCCAATAGACACCCAAAACACTCCCACACCAACTTCTACTATTTTTCCCCACCAAAAACCATCAATCCGGAATCAAGCTTTATTCAGCCTCTAAAGAGGCCGGTTAACAGTGGCTTCTTCAACTCCTCCGGCGACATTGGCTCACCCTCATCAGCGATATCATCAGTGTTTCTTGAAACGATGGGAGCCGTCAGATTTAAATCCTTTGCCGACCACCCGAGCTGTGAAAGAGAGGTGGAGAAGATGGTGATGGAGGCGGAGGAGAGAGATGTTGCTGAGAGCCCATTTGTTATTGAGATTGACAGTCATGGCACCACAGAGACTAATGAAGGTGCGGTTGCTGTGGATGAGGCCATTGCATGGGCCAAGGAGAAGTTTTTTAGCCATGCATCGACGGAGCCTAAGTGTACAGTATAAGAGCTACCATTTCTCAACCTGATGGAACTTGAGGAGAGAAGAGGTATTCACTAAGTGCATTAATGCATTTGGTTCCTTTTCAATCATATATTGTTCTATCATGTTCGTGCATTGAATATTTTTATTTTTAATAATAAAAAAAATATGTTTAGGAATATATTATCATATCCATTAAGATTCAATATATGGGTTATGATTATACTTTTTAAATAGTCTGTTCAATATTATTTTTTTATAAGTATGACTAAGAACATCTTTTTTTTTCTCTAGGGGATTGGGGGATGATGAGAGTCCAACTCAATAATTTAAAACTATAAAATAACTTGTATACACTGAATAAACAAATAGGCTATGAAGTGAATGAAACACTCTACAAATTGTGGAATAAGACCCAAAATCAGTAAAACTAAAAAGGAATGGTCGGTGTCTAGAGAGATTGCTCTAATCACCAATGTAGCAATAGAGGAGTCATCCAGGAAATGAAATAAAAGACTCGCTAAACTAAACAACAAAATTAAAACATGTTTAATAAACCACTGACCATTGAAACCATAAGATATGAGTCAAATCGAAGAATTAATATAATAATTTTTAGATAGCAGGCCAACAACAACAAGAGGACCTAGGCTTCCTTTCAAAATGATGAACCTAATTTCATCATCTTGGAGAAAGTTAAAGAGGGTGTTAATAAGTGGCCCCAAATCTCCATTAGGGTGTAACCATGTACCCAAAATCATGGAAAAGAAATTTTTTTGTGAAAGCTATATCTATTCATATTCAAGTGGCATTTTTGTTGAACATATGCATTTCCAAAATTTAGTAGTTCAAATAGAACCATATCAACCGGTCTATCATTTAGTATGAAGATTTGAGTTACAAATTAAGATGCTTCCAAATTTTTTCATCTTATAGGTGGCATTCAAGATAGTGAGAGAGGGTATGTCCATGCCTCCTTTTGGATTATGAAGAGTGATGTGATTTTGAGAGATACTATGATGTTTGTTTGGGCGGCCACTATCATTAGAGAATCTAACAATACAAATGCTAATTTCTTTATGACATATTTAGGCAAATATAAGACTTAATAAGTTACAGTCTGATAGAAAATGAAAATAACTTTGACTTCAATCAATAATCCATTTGTTAAGTCTTTCAAATAGAAGGATGTAATCCTTAACCTTGGTTCTAGAATTTGTTATGACAACTCCAAGGTAAATTATGGGAAGGGGAACATATTCAATATCAAGGATATCGCATAAAGGATTGGTGGCGCCCACAATTTTGACAAAAAGTAATTCTTAATGTCTACAAATAATCCACTCATTTTTCCCAAAAGAAGCTAGACGATCCTATACAGTATTAAAAGTCAGTGGATCAGTAGTGCCAAAAACCAAAAGGTTGGCAAGATATATAGGATGTGTAATACATCTATGAACAATGTCCTTTAGGAACTCTCGTTTGTTATCCTAATAAGGTAAAAAAGAATCTGACCAGAATCTGACCACAATGATAAATTAAATACTCACAATGTCTGTAGTGAAAAAAAAAAATTACGGATTGAAACATTATAATCCACAATTTTATCTTTTCCAATGTTAGGGAAAGCTTTTTTGATGACTTGGTCAAGGAAGGAGTAGTGAAATGATCATTTGCTACAAATAACGTAGAACTGAGAGGGCGTTGAAAACTGTAAGAGTGTGGAGTAGTGCTGAAGAGAGCTAATTTTATAAAATAGAGGCATTAGATTGCCTTAACAATAATGTAATGAGGGGGAGAAAGAGTGCCCTAAGGTGTAACAATTTCCTTACTATGGTTGTGTTTATGTTATCATTTGATTATTTATTTATTATTATTATTATTTGTAATGAAGTGAAGATTATGTTACAATCCCTTTAAACAATCAAACGACCATAAGTAGTTTGGGAAATTCATTTACTTTCACTAATGTCATGACTAAGATTTTATTAAATATTTTTTATTTTTGTAAGAGATGGGTCTAGCGGTTGCTTTTCTATAGAAAGATCACCATAGATTTTTTTTTTCTTTATAGAATTTGCTAAATTTAGAGCGATGGAAATCAATCTTCTATGGAGTGAATTTGACGCAGCTTTAACTACTTGAAACAAAATGAGTTCACTATAATCAAAAGAGGCCCGATTATGAAGATTCATGAAAATGAATATGTTATGGCAAGATGAAAAAGATAATAAATAGATAATGAGAGTGGACTAATCAAATAAAAGGAGGGCATAATTTTGTGGTAAGAGCAATAAAATAAATCCAACCATCTACCATTTAAAAGAGCTCTATCTATCTATGATCTTGTAAGAAAATCATGTCGCTTCTCCTATTAGGCATATGAGAGTCTAAAGTTGAAAATATTCAAGTAGCTTGAATGATATAATTGTGAGTCCACCATTTAGCTAGAAAATGGTTATTCCTTCCTATCGTGTGCTCAATTGATCAAATACACTTAAAATCATTTATAATGATACATGACAACTCAACATAAAAATTTTATGGGGGGTTCCTAAATAGTCTTTTTGTCATGAATAACATTTGTAGCATACATAACAATGCTTAAATTATTTTTGGATATGAATGTGAATTTGTCATGATTGAATCCAACAATAGTCCAATTTAATCCAAATAAACAAGAATTTGTAATTCTTTGATGGTTGACAAATGTCAAAAATCTCCTTTGAATAATCAAAATTTACGATATTTTTTACTATATGAATTATTCAACATTACTCAAAATGTTGAACAAATAGACCCCCAATTGATCTATTTATTCACTTATCTTTGCAGGTTAAAAAAAAGGTGGAGAAGAAAATTCAACTGAAATTGTTTGCATCATATTATGCTCGAGTATTATGTATAAAATAAGATGAGTGATTTGAATGTAATTGGGCTTGTGATTTGTTTCTGTTTTCATTTGTCTTGTTCATAATATTTTTGAGTCGAAAGGATTTGAGTTTGATTTATTTTCTATTTAGAATGTATAAAAGGTTATCAGGTGTAACATAATGTTTGCTTGGAACATGGATCATGCAAGAGCTGAAATTTTTTTATTTTATAACTTAATCTGATATAATAATGTATCATATGAAAAAATGAAAATAGTTCTTATCAATAGAGCTAATCACAAAATGATTTGTTTCAAGACTTGGGGTCTACTTCACTAAAGATTTTTTATTTGTCTGATCAGCATATTGTTTATTTTATTCTAGTATATTAGTTCCTACAGCCCCAAACCTATACAATTAATTACATATTAAGAGTGATGAGCTATTGTCTGCACTCTTGGTTAAAGTAGTGGCTAATGTTTTAAAACGTTTAGGTTTTCAAGATTGTTGTCTTAAAAATTCAAATGGGAAATATGAAATCAAAGTGATTATTTCTGGAATACAAATAAATAAGATAAGAAATGTTTGAATGTTGAGAAGCTCAATCAGCACTCCGACTAATGAGAGTCAAATGAGATGTTTCGGGACTCAAAGTGGATTCGTCGTGACTGCCATCAAGATCACTAAAATGACCCCTGTTAGTAAAATATATTGCATGAGAATATCTGTAGCATTAAGATTATAAAAAGAGGGCTCTTTGTGATTTAAATAAAAAAGTACAGTGAAAATAATAGACTTTCAGCACAACAAAAGTAATCTACACTCAAATTATCTCTCGATCTACCGAAATTTGGAGTGAAATGATCGAAAATGAACATAATAAATGATCGTTTGAACTTAGAAATGACTAAATATAAGATTGAAAAAAAAAAAAAAAGATGAACACTTGAACTTTATACACATAATGGTGAATGAGAATTGAAAGCAATCACAAAAACAACATATAACTCGATAATTAATCAGCAAGTACGAACAAAACCTGAAATGAACCTAATTTTCATCTGCATTCATGAATATGTCCCTTTTAACGGACATTTTGGCAATATTGCATATTGCTTTGAAGAAGTTGAGTGAAATATGGAGTCATGCAGGTACTTGGACAAAGATATAACACTTTCTACAAACGAGGAACAAATGCTTTGCTTCGAATGAATAATTAAATATTAGAAGTTATACTTATCATGAAATTCGCAAGACATATACATGCTGGCTAATCGCTAAATTGAAAGCTTAAAATAAAGAAGCACCCGTGCGTGCTCCGATTATAATTCTAAGTTCTTAAACTTAGCTTGTGAAAATGTTACATTGGTCAAAAGATGAAATTAACCTATAAATAAACTTGCCAATATTCAGATTTTACAAAATTTATTTTTCTAAATGACCAATATTAAATGCATATGAGCTCTCTTTTTAATAGGCCCTTCTATTTATAGTGCAAAGTCGTAAGTTTCAATTTAGTCGTTCTGATCCTTCTATTGATAAAAACCATGGTTGATAAATCTGAACCTTCATAGATGCACCCGATTCTTCTCCTTAGAAAAATTGGAGTTGACATGACTATGAGTCTTAATTGTAGAGTTGACATGACTGAGAGTCTTAATTGTAGTTTACTTTAGTCATTCTATATTTTTTTTAGTGCTAAACTAAACTCAAACAAATTATGATATAATTATTTCAATTAATTTTGTTATGATGGTCATGTTGACTGTGAATCTTAATTGCAGGTTTATATTCTTAAAACTAAGCTTTCAAATAATGAATATCAAAATATTCTTCGAGTGAAATTTCTCATTATGGCTAAAGAGTGATCATTCACTCTTAAATATAAATGATTTGCTCCAATAAGTATCGTAATGGATAAAATGTATACTACTGCAATTGATAAAAAACTAATGGGGAGAACCAGAAGAGTGACCCAGAGAGTAGCCAAATTTGAAAATTAAGTCAAAATTGAACTGGCTAAGTTTATTTTTTTGGAAAAAAAATGAAGACACCCATCTTTATTTGTACCAACAGTTATGGAAGAAAAAAAAAGAGAAAATAAAAATACCATGCAACCCAAAAAAACCTAAACACAAAAAGTGAAATAGTTTAGAACTAAAGGTACAAAAAAACAATGAAGGTACAACACATCAAGACCATTACTCAGAACCTTAGCTCAAGATTAAAAAGAAATCACAAAACTAAAATCTTCCAATCGCAAATATGCTTAGTAAAAGCTTAGATATCATCCATTATAGAAAAACAACTAATCGGTGCAACCCAAAATGCTCCAGCAGAAATAATCAAAAAGTTAAGTTCAGGGGCATCTTATACAAAGAAGAAGACAATCCCATGGAGGAACATATTCCAAAGGAAGGTAACAAAATAACCAAGGGCAGAAACTTCTTCAACTACAAACAAGGTCATCATAGAATTAATGACTTGTAACACATATAGTCTTCATTTTGAATAATAGTTAAACCTAGAGAGCCAAAAATCATCTCCAAGAGAAGATATCAATTCTCTGAGGCATAAAGAAGATGATTTTCATCTGTCATCATATATACTGTCATTTATTTACATCATGACAGTTCACACCAAAAATTTTGTCGACAACGAGTTTGCTCAAACTCTGTACTATATAGCTTATAACCTAGTTTAATGTTTATTTTTTAGACCCCAACATGGTATATGAACTCCTAAGTATATAAAAACAAATGAAAGAGGGAAGAAGGGGGATGTCTTCTCTTTCTCTCTCTTAATTCTACACCCTAAAAAAGCTCTCCAATTCCCCTAGCTTCTTCTCACTTCTTCAATTTATCTCCTAAATTATATCAATTCACAAATTGAATGGGATCTCACGTCCCAAAAGGATTCAACAGTAGTACATTAAATAAATAACATATATCTACATAGTTTTCTATTTTTAGTTTTTTGAGGCTTAGAGCAATTTTTTCAGAAACTTATACACATAAATGCTAGGAGTTGAGCTCAAGATCTCTTGATTGGAATGAAGGCACTGAACAAAGTAGGTTGGCTTAAGAAAAACTAATAATAAATAAATACTGCCAAATTCTTATTTATTTATAAAGTTAACACCTAAAATCCTCCGCCAAGACTAACTTAATTAGGTCATATATGGCATAGGTGAGCTAAACCCACTCATAAACTTGCTCAAAAAAATTTTCAAGCATGATTGATTAACGATGCCTCAATAAATCAAGTCAAAGATAAACCCTATACCATAAGGATTTGTTCGGGTGTAATTGAAATTTATTTGTAATAGAAATTAAATAATCTTGGAAATTTGGATTTGCCAAAGTTTTTGTGCTTTAAATCTAAGAAAACATTTTATATTGTTACATTCCTAAAAATTTGTGGTGATAGAGTGAAAACTTAACATCTTGGCGTTACACAAAAATCTATACACATAGATAATTGAAAAGTAATGGCAGGAGATACCAATTTTTTTATGTGAAGAAAACACTGGAAAAAGAAAAATTATAGGGCTAGCTCAGTTACAGTAATCCACAATGTGATCGTATGTATATGAGTCCACTCTTTTCCTAAATTGGAGAAGATGAAATTACAATGTTGTTAATTGCATATGCAAAATAGTAGTTCTAACTATAATATTCATTACTGGGTTACAATAAGTGCGTTTTTGGTTGTAATAATAATTTTTAACCACAAAGGTCGTAGTTTGTTGCTAAAAAGACAGTAAGTAGTCATAAAGGTTATTTTCGATGGTTGAAATAATGTTAGTTGGTCATAGAGGTTATAGTTGGAACAAGTCGCTTTGAATGTAGTTGGTACCTACAAGAGTGTCAATTGTTTTCAAAGGCCGTTGTAAGAAGTTATAGTAGTAATTGGCCACATATGTTGTAGTTGATAGCTACAATAGCGTTAATTTCCCACAGAAGCCGTAGTGGGAAGCTGTAGAAGTAATTGATCACATAGGTTGCAGTTAATAGTAGCAAGTGTATCAAATAATAACATATTTTTTAGTTGGAAGTTGAAGTAGTAACTGTCTATATAGGTCGTAGTTGCTCAGATGAGCCATAGTTGATAATTGTAATATCAATTAACCATATATTTTGTAGTTGGCCGCATAAGTTCTAGTTGCTAATTACAGTAGCAGTTAGACATATAAGTAGTAGTTGGTCACATATGCCATAGTTGATAGCTGCAATAATATTAGTTAGTCACATATGTCACAGTTAGAAGCTACAGTAGTAGTTAGCTACATAGGTCGTAGTTGGTCACATAGGTCATAATTAATAACTGTAGTGGTAATTAGTCACATAGGTAATAGTTGATTACATAAGTCATAGTTGGTAGATGCAGTAACATTAGTTGGTCATAGATTTGTAGTAGGAAGCTATAGTAGAAACTAACTATATAGGTTGTAGTATGGACCTTTTCTCTTAGGAAGAATGTGGCCATAATCTTATACTAAACACTGCATTTATATTTATATAATGTTCAGGAAAATACAAATGCTCGGAACAACAATAGTATTTTGGGTGCGACGTTTGTAAGCAGTGGTCCTTGGCAGCCGTGGTAACAATTGCGGTGGTCAGCGATTAATGTGGTTCAAAGTTATTGTGGGGTATTCAATACATCACAACCTTCTTAATGATATGTCATATACAAAAAATTGTCATCAACGACTACAAAGGCTAAATGTTATCACCGGTCCTTAATATGACGTTATATATTATGACCATATTTGAGATACAACATTAACAAATAGGGTCGTCCTTGGCCATGGAGGTCGGAAGTTACGGTCAAGCCTTAAATATGATGTTATTCATTACATCGTATTTAGGATGCATCATTAGCAAACAGAATTCATTGACGATGACAAGCAGGGGCATCCGAAGGGCTGTGATCGACAATGGTTGGCCTCTACGAAGGTCAGAAGTTATTGCTGGGTCTTCAGTCCATAACATCATTGAAATTCTACTCCTTCTCCTCTCCGTCAAGTAGAGAGAGGAGGTCGGTATATTTATAGTCTCTAAGTGAGGAGCATTTTAGTCCTTTGAAGCATAACTCCTATAACCACCTGATCAGAATGACCCATATTGATCCCCCTTGATCATAGAGATTTTTTTGGTGATTTGAGAGTCTTAATGTCCTCATAATTAAGGGAGCCCGGGCTTATTGGATTCATTTGCCGAGATGCTTAATTTAAATATAAACATGCTGAAATGAGGCCCCTGGATAATATTGAATTTGAATTTGGAATGATTGTTGCTAAAGAAGCATAGTAATTCACACCAAATAATAAATTTTTCTTGATGACACATCAGATTTGATAAATATCATATATAAACCTAAATTGGACAAATAGAATCACAATTAATTTAACTATATATCTCAACTAACAATTAATATAAAGAAATTAAGGATTAATATGATTGGGGCATTTATTGAGATTAAGCTAATTACTATGATTAAATTAACAACTAATTTTATAATATATATTATTAATTATGAAAATAAAAAAAATTAAAAAAAAAAATATACAAGCATAAATAAATAAATAAATAGATAAATATGCATTATTTAAATTTGTTTGAGTTGAAATTAATTTTTCTAATTAATAAAATTCATTATAATTTATAATTTTGCTGATTAAATTTTAATAGCTGTGATTAATATTCTAATTAATTAGTATTAAGCAGTTCATAAAATCAATCAAATATAAAAGTCTGATTAAATTAAATTAAATCATAAATAATATCATATCATTTAAATTGTTTTTAGTAATTAATTTAATTAACTTAAAAATTTTCGTTAATATATATTATTTAATTGTGATCATGTAATATTCAATAATAATATATTTACCTTTATAACAGTGAAACTTTAATCTTTCCATGCATATTACCTTATTCATGCAACGAAGTGTGTATTTTATTTTTTTTGAAGTTAAAATTGTGAGGTTTTTGGTGTGGTAGGGGATAGAAATTGAAAAAAGATAATTTTTTTATGGTATAAATGTAAATATATTACAGTTTGGGGGTAATATAAAAACCAAAGCCCTCCTCTCTTCCTTAAATCTCCGTCCCCAAAATTCCAAAACCCTCAGTGCGCGGAGAAGGAAGAAAATCAAGACGGGGGCTCGCTGCTAGGGTAGTCATCACCTGGAGCCGAAGCGGGTTTAAAGAACAAGAGGGGTTCGCCGCACTTTTCTAATCATTTATCTCTACAAGGGTTTTTTCACCTGCAGGAGATGAGATTTAAGTAGGGTTTAGTAATTTCTGTAAACCGAAATTGAATATAGTAAATCGCCCAAAACCACAGCCTTCGTGACTGAACCCTCGCGATGCAGTCGCGATTAGAGCTAACAGGGATAGACGACGGGATCGCAACTTACAGATACTGGAAACTCTCATCTTTCCCATCTCTCTCTTTCCGCCTCTCCGATCTTAACCGAAATCTTGGAGGATGGTAACTTCACATGTTCATTTTCGCGGGAAGCGTCTGTCCCGGCTTTTGTAAATCTGCAGCTCCAATTTAAATCCACCAATTCCGAAGATTTAGTAAATCCAGGTGAAATTCCGGCCTTAATATGTTGCCAGAAAAGCCCATAGGGAAGGAAAGCATGGCTGATTCGCAGCACAAGACCGTGCCAGTACTCCCGTGGATGCGGAATCCTGTTGACATCGAAGTCTTCGATGACTGTCCTCTCGGTCTCGTTCCACGCTTAGATCCACGGTAGCCATTCCTTCTCACAGCTGCTTGCCTGTATAAGTCTTCGATTGAGCTGATCAGAAATTGTAGGTGCTTCATTACTTGAATTAGCTTTGTCCCCTCTTTGAAAATTTGTCTTTGCAGATTAGTGGAGGCTTTGCGGAAAATGGATATTCAATCACTATTTCCTGTGCAAGTAGCAATGTGGCAAGAAACAATTGGGCCCGGTGCATTCGAGCGAGACATTTGTGTCAACTCGCCAACTGGGAGTGGCAAGACATTGGCCTATGCGCTGCCCATTGTTCAGATTCTCTCAACTCGGAAGATCAGATGTTTGCGTGCATTAGTTGTTTTGCCTACTCGAGACTTGGCTATACAGGTTGGATGCTTGATCGGTTTTCAGTTTTATTCTACTTTATATTTTGCTGAAATCTTATTGTTGCATCATTAATTGGATGTATACGTATTGTATCTCATATTTGCATTTTATAATTTGTAATTGCAGTCATCTTTCTTGACTAAATGTCATTTCGCGACTAAGTGAATTTATCAATTGATTTGTTAATTGGATTAGGTTAAAGAAGTTTTTGCTGCTATTGCTCCTGCTGTAGGCCTGAGCGTAGGAGTAGCTGTTGGTCAATCTTCTATTGCAGATGAAGTTTCAAAGCTGGTTGAGCAGCCTAGACTTGATACGTTTTCAGCTTTTGATCCAGAGGATTGGCCACCAGAACTTCAAAGTTCTGTGGACATATTAATTGCAACTCCAGGAAGGCTAATGGATCATATTAATACAACGAAAGGTTTCAGTCTGGAGCATCTATGTTATTTGGTAACTATGAGACCGCAGAAAATCCCTGAACATAGTCATACAATTTTTACTACAAGCTTCATCTTTTATGGTTTTATTCATGCCTCAGTTATTCCCAACCATATTGCCCATTCTCTAGAAGTTTAACAATACCTGCTTTTATTTTCTTTAATGAACTAGTATTTAATCCATGAAACCCTAACCGACATGCTGGTTTCATTTAGACTAAATATGCGCTGAACTGTAGTTATTATCAAAAGTTATTACTTGATTGAACACAGTAATGTGTTGGTAGTAACATTAAGGAGATGTTTGGTGGTAGCTTCAGCAAATCCTGTAAATCCGGACTTACTAGATCCAGCTAACACCAGGATTTAGTAAATCCGATCCTTAAGACAAAACTGAGAGGAATTGACAAGAAACTGGATGATAAATCCAGAGTTTAGAATTTGCCCTTATTATCTATCTGGCAGACTTAAGTTAAATCCCACTTAAATCCATTATCAAACAACAAAGCATTGCATTTTTAAACTTTATGAATGTTCTTCTCCTTTTCTCGTGCGGCCTCCTGTAAGACAATAGCATGCTTGATGTTTCTCTTGTAGGCTCCCAATTCCTATATTCTTTTTTCGTGGTAAATTTCTGATATCTGTGACATTATAAAAGTAATTTCATTAAATTTGCATCGTATCCATGTGTTATTAAGCTATCCAAGACTGTAAAATTAACAAGTTGCACTTTTTATGGTTCTTTCATATGTGTCAGAGATTAGATTTTGCTCCAGCTTTCTTACATTAGATAGACTAGTGAAATCCTTATGCATTGCTTGTTTCATTTTTGTTATGTTGGTCAGACTTCTACATTATAATATTTCTGATAATCTTTATTCATGAGCCTGTGTAATGTTCACTTAATTTTTTCACTTAGGTAATACCTCTTCTAACGGCTATACATCGTAGATCAGTATTGGTTGATCGAAAAGTTCTTACAATCTTTACGTCCTGAAAAACCTGAATTGTGAAATGTTATTTGGATGTGGTTCTTTAACTGTAAATAGTTTAATGTGAATTATTCTGCAGCTTTACTGGAATTTGTTGTAAACTTTCAGTATAGATTTATACATTATTCTTTTGTTTAAATTCTTCCACGTATTACTTATGCAAGCTCTTGAGTTCAAATTGCAATTTCAAGTCTGATCAATTTGCACTGATAAAATTCAGGTAGTTGATGAGACAGATAGATTGTTAAGGGAAGCATATCAGTCTTGGTTACCTACAGTAATTCAACTTGCTTGTATGAAAAGTCTAGCTGGCTATAAGGAAGATGTGATTTTCCCATCAATGTTCAATTCCTTGACCACCATAAGACGGACGTAAGATAATTGTTGTTTGTTCATCATTTTGTAGATTAAGGTCCCACTTATTTAAGAATTTGTATAACCATCTGGCTATCTGAATTTTGTTTTCACCCCTTGATTTATTGACTTGTACTTCTAGCAGGCAACACATCATTCTTTTGTTTTCTCATTTATACTATTTATTAATTTTAACGAGCATATGCTATTTTTGCATAATGCTTAGCCATTATTTTATTATTATTTTTTTTGTTTTAATTTTTTCTTGCAGTGGCGTGGAAAGAGGGTTCAAGGGTAAAAGTTATCCCAGACTTGTTAAGATGATAATGTCTGCTACGCTGACACAAGATCCAAGCAAGCTTTCTCAACTTGATTTGCACCACCCCTTGTTGTTAACTAGTGGAGATAGGCGGTACAAGCTACCTGAAAAACTGGAATCATACAAACTAGTATGCACAACATCGCTTTTTTAGCTAATGAATTCATTGCAATTACTTTTTTATATTCTGTTTTATTTTATGTCAATAACCAAACCTGTTCTTTGAATGTTGTTAAAATTAGAAATAACCTATCAGGTAGGATTATGGAGAAGTTAATAGTCGGTTGGATCTTTGGTCCTGGAACTTAGATATTGTAATTTCTTTTTTTATATACCTTTCATTATTTGGTATAATCGTCTATTTATATGTAATACAATACAACTGCCTTGTTATAATTGAATTGAAATTTTTTATTATATTTGCGGCACTGCTTATTTGTGTGATACTTATCATATTTTAGCCATATTAGTAGAAATTGAACATATGAAGGTTTTTGTTTCTTGCTTGTTGCCATAACTTTTTTTCTTATGCAGATTTGTGAATCAAAGTTGAAGCCCTTGTATTTAGTTGCACTTTTGCAAGATCTAAGAGGGGAAAAATCGATTGTATTTACATCATCCGTGGAGTCAACTCACCGGCTTTCCAAATTACTAAATTTATTCGGAGAACTTCCTTGCAAAGTTAGTGAGTATTCAAGTCTACAACACCAGTCTGTTCGAAGGTAGGCATAAATTATGAGTTGCAAGTGATTTTTTTTTGACGTGAATCCATTATGTATGAAACAATTAAGCTAAAATTTCTTTATAAAGGGGACAATTTTATTCAATTGTTGGAAGCTATGATAGATAAACCTAAGTTATACTTCATTCCAGCCATCCTGCCTGCAGCTCCTCTGCAAAGGAAGTCAGACTGTAGTCATTCACAAGATTTCATTTAGCTTACTTTTGTATGCTTTTCTACGTTGAAGCATGCTGTTAGCTTTCTTTCAACTTCTTTGGGTGTGCTTGTGTTTAGGATTGATTTCAAATCCCCGATCTCCCTGGAACAAAGTGGGAGTTATATTGAAAGAGCGGGGCCGGGAGAGGTGCAAATTTTATCAGAAATCTATCTTAAATTAAGCAGAAGTAAATGTCAAAATCATTTTGCTTTTTTTTAAGAAATCACAAGAAGGAGCTGCTTAATTTTCAACTGTTTTTTAAACCTCATAAAATTTGATCTTTTTTGAAGTATTGAATAATTTACAATTTTTTTAAGCAACTTTAAGACAAGAAAATGGCATTCACTGTAGAAAATATCGAACTTCTATTATGTTGAATGATCAACTTAACCAAGTTGACTGATGAAAATTAACTGAGGATGAACCAAATTGGTCAGTTGAGAAATTAAAGTTTGAACTTGAAACTTGTTGCAAAAGCCTAGTGGTCCCACTTAACCAACACTGAGCCCACCAAATAATTTAAAAACATGTTTTAGGTGCAAGACTAAAAGGGCAATTTAGTCATTTGTGATTTATTCTTGTTTGCTAAAAGTAGGTTTTAATATGATTAGGGTTAGGGTATGTGATTGTTGTCTCTAATCTTAGGAATTAAGATTTGGGAGAAAATTGCCTTCCTTTTGAGTTGTAGTTTTATCTTTTATGTACTTAGGGTTGTGATGTTTTGTGCCATTGGAGTAAATATTTTACTTTGTCCTAATCTTTGTTGAAACTTGAGAGTAATGTTGGTATCAAAGTCGTACTTGGGAGTCACGTTGGTTGGAAGGTCAATGCTTTGGAGGAAAAACTCAAAGGAGAGGAGAGCCAACTCAAATTGTCCATGGAGTGGTGATTCACGTCCCTGAATGAAACATTGAAGAGGCTAGTTACGTTCCACTCCATCCCTCTGTCGCTTGTGACAGTGTCTACGACGTGCAGAATTGCTAGTGTCGTGCTAAGGGGTGTCGCATGATCCATGCACAAGGGATTAAGCAGGGGGCAACATGGCTGCCTTTAGTGGATTTAGGGTCGCAAGTTTGATAGACATCATATGGATTGGACTCGAGTGGCATCAGACAGACGAGATCGAGCGACGTGCGGGTTGGAGCGAGTACGACAGACATAACAGAACAACGTAGTGCAATTCAAGCCTGAAGAAGATCGATTTGAAGGATTTTGGCTTGGAACAAGGAACCCTGTTGGGTGGCATCCTCGACCGAGGGATGCATCCAATTGCGTTGTCGTCTTTTGTTGAGATAACACTGACAACCTTTTTGGTAGAAGCCGATTCATGACTCTATGGGGATGGAAGCCTCGATTATGGGGCGAGCCAAACTTATATGTGAAAAGAAATTAGTATGAGCCAAGGAAGGGAATCCTACCACCACTTCATGAGTGGAATAAGCTGAGCTTTGGTCGAAGAAACTAGGGAAGAGAACCGCACATAATAATGGCGAAGAGGTCGATCTTTGAATGACAGGGTGTCTATGATTGGGTTTATCGTATGGAGAGATATTTTGATGTTAATGGCTTGTCGAATGAAGAAATATTTATGCTGGTGGCCTTATGTTTGTAAGGAAAGACTAGCATTGTGTCAATGACGAGAACGTCATCCAATCAGAACATGGGAAGAACTCAAGGATTGATTGTTCGAGCGTTTCAAAATCTTGCAAGAATGAAATTTTCACCAACATTTTTTAGTATTTGTCTAAGAAAGGTCCGTCATGGATTATAGTGAGAAATTTGAGATGTTATCTGACAGTTTGAAAGAGATATCAGAAGCAATATTGAAAGGAAACTTTATGAAGGGTTTGAAGCAAAAAAATTGAGAGATGCTTCAACTGCTTACATAGTGAGGATTGGGGGAAATTATAAATTAATGAATGTTGTTGAAGATAAAAGTACAATGAAACTGACTAATAGGAACAACACAAGTGAAGTGTTTTATCAAAATGATATAACCATAACAACACCAAAAGTTCTAATTTTGGGATACTACAGGGAGGCTCTACGGGATATGATTAATGAGCTACAACCGAGAGTGACATTCAGACACCTTATGAATATAAAGATTCAAGAGAAGCGACCTAAGGGGTTATATTTTTAATGTGATAAGAAGTTTGCCCGAGGAGACCATTACAATTAGCAGACCTTGCAGGTTCTCACAGTGTGTGATGAGGGTTAGATAAGGGATGAAGAAACATAAGAGGTTGTGGAGGAGCACTCTAACTGGGATGTGGCAGAAGTCTCATTGTATTTGGTGATGTGGTTCACACTGAACCACACTATGAAATTTCAGGGACAAATTAGAGAGCATGACTTAGTAGTGTTGGTAGATTGTGGGGCGACCCACAACTTCATCTCTACTAAAGTAGTTGAGCAATTGGGGCTTGAGATGGTTGATACATTGAATTTGTAAGTAAAGATGGAGATGTGATAGGTGGAGGAGAGAAAGGGAGTCTGTAAGCTGATTTTAACGTTGTAGAGTATTCAAGTGGTGAAGGATTTTATTTCCTTAGCTTTAGGGAGTATTAATGTGATATCTGGTATGAAATGGCTGCAGTCATTAGGGTAGACTAAAATAAACTGTAAACTTCTAACAATGGAGTTTCAGGAACTAGGGTCACTACGAAGCACTACAGTTTTGTCAGGCAGTGTTTTATATTCTCTGATCGATAATCCACAAAAAAACACCAACTCCCATCTTTTATCACTAACAAGATCGGGTTAGTGAAGGGACTTATGCTAGTTTGTATGATCCTTGACTCCATTTCTCAGATCAATCTCTCAATCTCGTCCTTCTGCACCATGCACACTAATGGGATAAACCCCCTGCCTCAAGGTTATTGCATGTTCTCGTTGCCTCTAAGGAGACAATCCATGTGGCGAAATCTATGCTAACTTTATATCATGTGTTTCCTTCTTGCTATGTAATTCGACCAAGAATCCTAGCTTTGCACCCTGAATTGTCCTAATCATGGCCTTGAGCTTCACCAAAGTCTTGCACAAACTAGGGTTTCCACAACATCTGGCATTGCTGAAGAAGGTATGAGAGAAGGTGACGATGGTTTCATTGAAGACTTATCTCGGTCAAAAGGATTTACATTCATCTTGGTGGTGGGGGATTAGTTAAGCAAGTATGATCACCTTGTCCCTCTACATCATCCCTACATTGTTGTTTCTGTCATCGCTATTTTTATACCTGAGGTTGCTTATTTACGCGGGATTCCATAATCGATAATGTTGGATTGAGATAAGGTCTTCATGAGTCACTTCTGGATGGAGTTGTTTAGAATGCTGGAGGCCATATTGAAGAGAATTGCAATTTATCACCCACAGACTGATGGACAGTTCAAAGTTGTTAATCAGAGCGTGGAAGCTTATTTGCATTGTTTTGTATACAACGCGTCCAATCAATGGGTTAAATGATTACTTTGGGCAGAGTATTGGACAACATTTTGTATCATACAACTTCTTATACCACTCCTTTGAAAATTTTATATGACCACGATTTGGTACATTGTAGACACTATATTTTGTCGGTGTTTTTAGTAGATTAGTACTTTGAAGAGTGGGACAAGGCTTTGGCCGAATTGAAGGGACATTTATTTAAAACTCAACAATTTATGAATAAATAAGCCGATGAACCTTGAAGGGATGTGTAGCTTGCGGTAGGAGAGTATTTGAAACTTCTACTCTATTGGCAAAAGACATGTTAGATGCAGGAATGAGAAACTCTCCCCACACTATTTTTGTCCTTATGTGATCACTGAGCGCATTAATGCAGTCGTTTAAAATTATCATTTTTGTCGACACTACATCCAATGTTCCATGTATTGCAGCTAAGCAGTGTTATTGGTGATAATGTGCCCTCTTCTTCACTTCCCCCTATGTTGATTGAGAATATGAAAGTTCCCTTGGAGCCATCGCAAGTAAAAGGGGATGTCTTAGGGATTTACTAGTTGGAAAGAAGTTCTGATTAAATGAAAATAGTTGCCAAATTATGATGCCACGTGGAGCCTTACAACTTGATCCAATAACAATTCCTTCTCTTCCACCTTGAGGACAAGGTGTCTTATTGAGAGGGTAGTAATGTTAGACTGACATCTATGGTGCCTTCCACTTCACGCTCCACTGAGTGAGTGGTCTCACCAAACCCACACCGAGCCAGTCAAATAATTTGAAGACCTATTTTTGGCGCAAGATTAAAAGGGCAATTTTGTCATTTGTTATTTACTATTGAAAATATGACACTAAATAAGACACAATGGAGAAAAAGGATTCATGTAGCCGACCCCACGGAGTGGGATTAAGGCTTTGTTGTTGTTATTTAGTTAGTTAGTTACTATTATTTGACATAAGTAAGGCTTAATATGATTACGGTTAAGGTACATGATTGTTGTCTCTAATCTTAGTAGTTAGGGTTTGGAAGAGAGTTGCCTACCTCTCAAATTGTAAATCTATCTTTTTTGTATTTTGGATTTTGTTGTTTTGTGCCGGTGGAGTAAAGTATTTTACTTTGCTCTGATCTCTGTGGAAATTTGTTTCGTTCCTATCATTATGCTTTTATGATCTTAACAAAATGCATAATGTAATTATTTTTCATGATATTTTTCTATATTCTAGCTTTTAGAGGAAGTCTATATTTTGCTATTGGCATTTGACTTAATAATTTACACATTTGGCATATTGAATATGTTGTGAAAAATGACGATAATAAAGCGAAAAATCGGATAAAAAAATATTGCAAAACAGAAAACAACGAAATACACAGATTTACGTAATTCGACAAATTGTCTATGTCCACGGAGGTGCAGAAAATTTTATTAGCTTTGAGAATTATACTCGTCGATCACCTCGAGAAAGAACAATCTCTCTCTCTCTCTCTCTCTCCCCCCCCCCCCTCCCTACTTCTTTCTCTCTACCTCTCCATCCGTAACCAAGTAGGAAGAAGATTCCAATGGGAATAAAACAAAAGCAAAGCTTTTATTTTTCTTTTTCGTAAGCTTGCCAGAAGCTTCAACCTTGAAAAACCAAAGTCTACCATCTTCTCCTGTGAGCAGGAGGTGTATTTAAAGCTTCCTTATTCGACCCAACAAGGAAACTCTCCTTTAATTGCAACTAATCAAAGAAGGCGGGAATTGGATGAGGCAGGTTACAGGAAAGGCAAAACATGCAATTAAAAAAAGATTACTTTAGGAAAGAAATATTTATTAAATGATTTCCATAGAAGTGGAAATTGCCAAAGATAGGAGCAAGATCGGGCTCCACAATCTCAACAATTCTCTCACTTGGAGACTGAGACACTAGCTGCATCACCTACTGGCTGCACCGTCTTTTTCTTCAAATATGATATCCTCCACTTATACAACTCAAAGCCTCTGTCTTCACTCTAGAAGACCAATGTCGAGCACAACTTCAGTTTCTCAAGAGTAGCACCCTTAGTTAATATATTAACATCAACGTAGCCTTGTACCAGCAAGCTCTTTTTTATGTTACTCCTGTATCTGCTTAGAACTCCCACTGTATAAGCAATATCCCGCCCCTACTGAAGGCCTTTTTCAACAAATCCAGCATTGTACTTCTTAATATCATCAAACACAGTCTTCACCCCGTACACTCACTTTTATCATGTCTTCTTCTCTAGTGGAAGTTCTGTCAGCTCCCAAGTCTGATTCCCTAGTAGGGAATCTGTCACCTTCTTTTTGGCCAGCTTCCACTTGCTCGAATTCTCATCTTGCAAAATTTCTTTATAGCTCTGACTCATGTGACCAAGCCTGCAATGCCGCAAATTTATCGTGCTCTCTGCAACTGTAGTAACAACTGTGTTGAGTAAACCAATAGTCATATATTGTGTGTTAGTTTTCTTACCCCGAGCCAATACTAATGTTCATTTGGTAACCTTCTAGGTGCTATTTGAGAACACCACTGAATGACCCATCCTCATTGAACTTCCCAACAGAAATGGGGTTTTTCTTCAACTCAGGAATGTGTCTAACATTTTGCAAAGTCCATTTGCTTTTGTTAGAGAGTGCAATATCAACGTCTCTCATCTCCACCACGTTCAGAGCTTTTCCATTAGCCAGATGTATCTTCCCAATATCGTCTGCAACATAGTTTCACATCAAATCTTGGTGGGAAGATGTATGGAAGGAAGCCCCTGAATATACTATCCAGTCACAACAAAACTGTGAACTGTCAGCAATTGCGCGTCCTGCATTTCTTCGGTTACAACATTAGCATCATCATTCTTCTTCTTCTTAGGATTTCTGCAATTCATTTTTATGTGGTCAGCCTTGACACAATTCTAACAGGTTGTCTGTTGAACACTTTGATTTTGATTTTTCTCTGTTTGAGTTCCTGTCCTCTGATCTCCCTCTGGAATCAGCAATCAGTATCGAACTCGAACCCGAGGTTTTGCTTGAATCTTTTTTGCGCACCTCCTCAGCCAAAATCAAATTATGAATATCATCATATTTCAGTTTAGTTTTACCTGCAGAACTGCTAACTGTCATTCTCATGGTTTTTCAGCTATTTGACAATGAAACCAACAATATCAACACACGTATCTCATCTTCAAAATCATTTTCAACAGACGACAATTGATTTGTGATAGTATTGACATCATTCATGTGTAGAGCAACAAATACTTTACACCATCTTCTGGTTGAATAACTTTTTCATCAGATGCACCTTATTATTCGCCGATGACTTCTCATACATACCTGATAAAACTGTCATGAGGTCTGCAGTAGTCATCTCCTTGATGAAGTTGTGGGCAACGAATCTTGACATAGTTAACCAAATAACCCCAATAACCTGTCGATCCAACAGATTCCATTCCGCCTCGTATATCTTTTCCAACTTCTTTTCCAGTAACGGAAGAAGAAGTTTATTTCCATAGAGGTAGTCATCTATCTGCATCCTCTAGTAAGCAAAATCTGTGTTATTGATTTTGTCGATCCCCGATGCCATAGATTCGTCTCCGCCCATCGTGTTTCCTTCAGCCCGAATCTGTCTTTGATACCAGTTATTGTGAAAAACGATGACAATAAAATGAAAAACCGGATCGAGAAAAATCGCAAAACAGAAAACAGTGAAACGCATAGATTTATGTGGTTCGGCAAATTGCCTACGTCCACGGAGCTGCAGAAAATTTTATTTGCTTTGAGGATTATGTCCGTCAATCACCTCGACGATTACAAGAAAGAACAATCTCTCTCTCTCCTCTCTCCTCTCTCCTCTCTCCTATTCACTTCTCTCTCTCTACCTCTCCACCAGTAACCAAGTATGAAGAAGATTCCAAGGGGAAAAAAACAAAAGCAAAGCTTTTATTTGTCTTTTCCGTAAGCTTGCCAGAAGCTTCAACAGCGGATAGATTGGGAATAGCCACTGGAGAGATTAAGCACAACGAAGAGATTAGGACCCACGGAGGAGAGGAAAACCGGGTAAAACCAAAGTCTGCCATCTTTTCCTGTGAGCAGTAGGTGTATTTATAGCTTTCTTATTCGGCCCAATAAGGAAACTCTCCTTTAATTGCAACTAATCAAAGAAGGCGGGAAATGGATGAGGCAGGTTACAAGAAAGGCAAAACATGCAATTAAAGAAAGATTACATTAGGGAAGAAATATTTATTAAATGATTTCCATAGAAGTGGAAATTGCCAAAGATAGGAGCAAGACCGGGCTCCACAATCTCAACAGAATATACCTATGTTTGCATGCCTTATTTGTTAGAAAGAACTGGACCAATTTTCTATTTTGCCAATAGAATGTAAATATGATTGCAGCTATAAGCTGATTCTTCTCCACGTTACACTAGTTATATTTTATTATATTTGATTTTGCATGCATGTTTCAATTTTAAATTTCTTCTTGTGACCAACTTTGGACTAGGTTGCTCTTAATATTGAGGGAGCCTGAATCATTGAATTTCTGCCTTTTGATTCTGACAGATGCTTATGCAATTTTGCTCATTCAAACTAGCTATTGCTAAAGAACACTCTTTTAATGCAGCAAGAGGTTGAAGGCTTTTAGGGAAGGTAAAATAGAAGTTCTAATTGCTTCAGATGCAATGACTCGAGGAATGGATGTTGAAGGAGTGAGAAATGTCATTAATTATGACATGCCTACTTATGTCAAGGCATTCGTCCATCGTGCAGGACGTACTGCACGAGCGGGAAATAAGGGCCGTTGCTTTACTTTACTGAGGAAAGATGAGGTAAAAACTGTCTACCTGAGCAAATATACTTCTATCACATTGAAATTGATGATTATTTTTATTTATAAAATTTACATTATGGGCTAAGTTGATATTTTCTTACCACTTTAGTTTTCTAAGTACCGTGAAATTATAAGCTCAACCAATTCAGAAGTGCTGTACACAAAGAAGGAATACTTGTCATCTTTCATAAACCCCAATTACATTCAAGCTCAAAAGAAGAAGAAAAGTCCCATCATCTCATGTAAAACAGAGATTAGCTTACCCCAAAAGAAGAAATTGTTTTTCTGGCATGTTTTTGATGCCACCAATATTTCAAATAATCCCAGATTAAGAGGGTACAAAACGTAAGCATATTTAGTCATATTAACTGTTGGTGTTGTTTCTTTTTGTAAAATCGTATTTTTTTAGTTTAAATAAAGAGCACTTGACATTTATTTTTTGAAGCATATACATGCATGCTGCCCAATTCTTCTGCAGTACATATCTAACCCCTAAATTTTGCTTTTTACATTTATACCACTCTTATCACATAAAAATACAACTATTTTAATTTTTAAAAAGTGAATGCATAGGTAAGGTGGCATACATGTAAAAATTGAAGTGTAGATGTTAAATTTGCAAATCCATAAGAATTGAGTGGTATACTTCCTTTTATGTTCTATTTTCTTAGCCTTTTGTATATTTTTGTGTCTTAAGAGGCCAATTAAATTGAGGGTTTTTGAATTGCACTTGAAATGATGCTGTAGTATTGTTGAACAAACTGACCTTTTGCTGTACAGTCCTATCTTGGAGGTAACTTTCTTTTGAAATTCACTAAAGAGACCTGTTCCGTGAGTATCCCTCTTCTGGATAGACATTTTGAACATCATCATTGTTAGTCTTATTCCAGCTTTTTGGGGTTAAATTTGTGAATTCTTTTCGCAAAATTTTTACCGCTAACTTATCATTTAACATTAGTTGTCAGACTTTTTTTTGTATTCTTAACTTCAGCTCACTATATTCATACGGTCATAATAATTCTACTTGCATTTCCTGGTAAGGATTATATTTCATTTTAATGTTGAGCGTCAATTATTTTTAATTTTTCAGACTAAACGCTTCAGAAAGATCCTCAGCAAGGCTGGTAAGATGGTCTGTAATGCTCATGTCTTACCTGCCAACTCAATTGAACGCCTGAGGCCAGTTTATTCCACTGGTGAATGTCGCTAGATCCTTTTATGCGTCCTTAAGTCGCAATATCTTACAAAAAAAAGATTAACCATAATATTCCTTATGTTCTAGCTGTTCAACGTAACAATTGTCTCGCTTTATTTGTGGTAGCGCTGGAGAAGCTGAAGCAGTATGTGGACTCTAGAAAAGGTAAAAAACATGGTATCAGGTTCAAGTCAGCAGAAGCTGATGTAAAGTAGACAAAATTGAAGGATTGGACCCATACTTGAGATGGATACTTCGCTAATATAACCTGACAATCATGCTCAAGAAAATACCATACTGAGTTGGTTTGTCATTCAGGTTTTCAAACCTTGCTTCTCTCATTCTTTTTGCTGTCTGTGGCATAATTAATAAATAGGCAATGGTGTTTACTCCAACATTGTACTCTCCACATCAGAAAGTTTATATCTTTGTTTCTTTGGTTAAATTATACTTGGTTTATTTTGCATTTCCATTTAGATTTCTTCACTCATGAAAGTTTTTATGATGATACTTGTCATGTGTTGCTTTTACTTGAGCAGATCAGCTTATACACACTCCTTTGTTTACCAGGCTATTCAAACTTTGGATGCTTTATTTTGGAGATGAACGTCAAGATCCAGAGAGCGGAAGAGTGGACCACTAACAATGATTGTTAGGAAATTTTTTCATGCATTTTTTTTCAATCGATTTTTTTTGACACTGATACTCATACCGACAAAATGGACTAATGGATGCGAGCGCTGTTTTAAATAATTATCAGCTTGGTATCATGCCCTGTTTTAGGGAGATAAGCAGCTCCCATCAGATCATCTCAGCAATCTTTGTTGTGTTTTGTGCCATTGGAGTGGTCTTCCAGAGGACTCTTTCTGTAGCTCAGGTTAGTCCCATCTATAGAAATGTTTGTTTAGATATGAAGTATCTGTGGCTAAGTTCATTTGAACGTGTTGTTAAATTAATTGTCATGATAATTTTAACTGAATTGCTTAATTTTTTTCATTTCTGATGCAATTTGAATACATATCTGATGTATCCTTCGAGTTTCTTTGTAAAATGTTATGTTTCATAGTAATGAGTGCGTAGTGCGCTGGAAAAGAGCTGCAAAACAACTGGAAATTTGGAATGCAAGTTTCATTTTTGTGTCCTGCTTGCCTATAATAATAGTTATATATATCAATAGAGTTTATATTCACAACATACGCCACTAAGAATTCTATTTCGGTTATTTATATATGTATATTGCAAATTGATGCTTTTTGCTGTTTCTAGTTAATAAGTTAGATAAAAAATTGTTATGAAATTTTTTTTGGGGAAAAGTTACTGTTGTTGTAGCTGTTAAACTTTGGTTAGGTTTAAGGTGGGGCCTGCTTGCAGAATTTAAAATTGAGAAGTTTTTAGTTTGAGCTGTTCATACATGACGTTGAGTGTGAAATGAATATTTGTTCATATACAATAATAACATTAACAACAAAGCCTTAATCCCACTAGGTGGGGTCGGCTACATGAATCATTTTTCTCCATTGCGTCCTATTTAGTTTCATATTTTCATTTAGTTCTAATAAATTAAGATCCTTTTTTATGCAATAAGCCCAAGTCTTCCTAGGTCTACCTCTGCCTTTCTTAACCTCTGCCTTTCTTAACATAAGTCGAATCTAAAACATCTACTCTTCTAATCGGATCATCAGATGGTCGGCGCTTAATGTGACCAAACCATCTAAGATGACTTTCTTTAATTTTGTTCGTCACAGGAGCTACACCAACCATATCACGGATATAATCATTTCGCATTTTGTATTTACATCCACCTAATCATTCTCATCTTGGCAACACTTAACTTAGTATTATGCTTCTTTTTTAAAGGCCAACATTCAACGCCATAGAGCATTGCAGGTTTCACCAACGTCTTATAAAATGTTACTTTTAGTCTAAGCGATAATTTTGTATCACACGAAAGGCCCGAAGCATTCCTCCACTTCAACCAACCAACTTGAATTCTACTATTAACATCCCCATCTATTTTACCATCGCTTTGAACAACATACCCGAGATATCTATATCGTTCACACCTTTTAATAATTTAATCACCCAAAGTTACACTTCTGTCACTAGAGCTACTACTACTAAAATTACATTTCATGTATTCAGTTTTAGTTTTACTCAAATGAAGGCCTTTAGACTCCAATGTCGACCTCCATAATTTAAGTTTTTCATGAACTCATTCTCTAGTACTATCCACAAGAAGGATATCATCAACAAAAAGCAAACACCAAGGTACATACTCCTACAAATGTCCAGTAAGAGCATCCATAACTAAAGCAAAAAAGATATGGTCTTAAAGTCGATCCCTGATGTAATGCAACTGAGATAGAAAAATACTTGGCCAATCCTCCTTCTATTCGAACACAAGTAACAACTCTAATATCATATCTTTAATGACTAGAATATAAGTAATAGAAACGTCTTTCTTCTCGAGAACTCTGCAAAGAACTTTTGAAACCTTATCGTAAGCTTTTTATAAATCAATAAAAATCATACGTAGATCCTCCTTATTCTCTATGTAAAACTTTTCCATCAAACTTCTCGATAAACGTATAGCTTCCACCTGCCCGACATAAATCCAAATTGATTATGAGAAATCTTTATAATATGTTTTAACCTATGTTTTTAACCTATGTTCAATTGTTCAATTACCCTCTCCCATAATTTTAAAGTATGACACATCAACTTAATTCCTCTATAATTTGCACACTTTTGTGCATCCCCTTTATTCTTAAAAAATGGGGACTAAAATACGCATCCTCCACTCCTCATGCATCTTTTTAGTTTTTAAAATAATATTAAAGAGTTTAGTAAGTCATGAAACTCTCAAATCTCTTAAACATTTCCATACTTCAATTGGGATATCATCAAGTCCTACAAACTTTTCACCCTTGGTTTTCTTTAAAGCCTCCTTAACTTTTTTACTAATGCAACGGTAAAAATGAAATTTTTTATTATTATTAACGATATTAAGATCACTAAGGTGAATCATACTTTCAAAAACTTCATTAAAAAGTTTAACAAAATAATTCACCCACCTATGTTGAATATCTTTTTCTAAAAAAAAAATTTTTTTTTGATTTTCATCTTTAATACACTTTACCTGAGTTAAATCTTTCCTTTTCTTTTCTCTTTATTTGGCTAGTTTATGAATATATTTTTCACCCTTTTTAGTATATATTCTATTATAGAGATCATTAAAAGCAGAATTTTTAGCCCCACATATTGTTCTTTTAGGCTCTCTGCGGGTCGTTTGATATTTTTTTCAGTTCTCTAAGCTTTTACATTTAAATCAATTTTTATAACATAACTTCTTATATATTTTTTTTCTTGCACAATATTATTCCACCACCAGCTATTTTTATTTAAAGAAACTTTTTTTTTTATTCTCCAAGTACATCTTTTGCTACTTGTTTAACAATGTTTGTTACTTTATCCTACATGACATTTGCTTCATCTTGAACATCCCAAAATTTGAAATCTTGAATTTTACTCATAATAATAATTTTATTAGTGTCTTTTAAGTTCTTCCATCTAATTCTACGATAATGAGTCCTAGTATTCTTTATTTTACAACTCTTCATCTTAGAAACTACAATTAATGAACAATCTTAGGTACTTAAATCCTCAATTGGAATGACTTTACAATTTTTACAATCTCTACAATCTCGACGTTTTCTTCTTCTTATAAGAAAATAATTAATTTGTGTTTTTATTAGATCTATTTCTTATAAGTAATAAGATGCTCATCTCTTTTCTTGAATAGAGTATTAGTAATAATAAAATTGTACGCTAAAGCAAAATCTAAAATAGTTATACTTTTTTTATTAGTCATTCTAAAATCGTAGCCACCATGAATGTTCATTTCATGATTTTGTTCGACAAGTTTTATGCTGGTTGTCAACTAACTAACGCAACCCTGCACTTTTCACATATACATGAAAATATATCTTAAACATTTTTTGAACAAATATTTATGAATATTTCAGCTGCAACTTATGAAACATTATGAGTTTCAATTAGATACATCAAAGCAGAATTATGTCTTACATTGTTAAGAAATTGAGTAGATTAAACGAAATAAAAAAAAATGCTATTATGTCAGGCGTCAACAGAACTAGAAGTGAAGATGAAACCAAAGAATGATGCAACCATGACCAACCACGCTAATTTACTCGTTTTCTTGTTTCTTATCTATCCATCCACAGTACATAGATGCAACAAAAGCATTATCTCATCAATGAACTTTAATTTGTCTTAACCCCTCCATCCATAACATCAAAATGAACCATAAAATAGTATGACATCCTTGCTGTTAATCATTGCAGGATACATTGGGATTGATTTCTACGCAACTGATTAAGAACTTTGGAGTCAAAAAAAAAAAAAAAAAAAAAAAAAAAAAAGAGAAAAATGTGAGTATCAAATTGATAAATTTCTATTTTGAGATAATTAAAGAACATACGCTAAACAAATCATAATTTGTGTAGTTGGTGTGATGTTAGAAATGGAGGAAAATTTTAGTCTGTTCAAAAAAAGTATTTTGAACATGAGTAGATAGAAATGATTAGAGACATCAAAATTTTTATGTCGGAGTTTCACTCTTCTCAATTGGAGAAGATAAGATTATAATATTTGTTATTGAGTTTGTCGAATGACAACATCAATTAAATGATAATGATAATGATTAGTTAGATGACAACATTTTGAAAATAGCAATAAAACAGTAACAACCATTATTTGGGGCTATAATGGTTGTTGGCTGTGTTTGATGGTTGTTGGTTGTCATTTCTAGCTTTCTATACAAGTGGTAATTTGGTTCTTAGCTCTTTTCCCCTCGCATGGAGAATTGGGTTCTGAAGAGGAGTTATGTTTATAATTTTTATGAAGGATATTTTGGCAATTTTGATCAGCATCATAAACTATTTAATCAAATGGTCCAATTGAATTTCTTTTAACTTAAGCCATTCTTTCATCATTTGAGTGCCTTGAGGAACTCATAATTGAATGATTTTTGGCTCGTTGGATTTCTTTTGTTGAGTCGCTCGATTCGACTATAAGCATCAAAGATAATCTCTCAACTAATGTTTCAAAGTTTCTAGTTATAATTCATGTGCATGATCCGTGCGGTTATCTGGATTCAGATCAAATCATTTTTTGTGTCTTGGCGAAGTGATTTTTTTTTTTGGCGTTATATAAACATTTTATTAAGAGAAGAAAATAACTTCCTCAATAAGGGTTTGAGTAACCCTTTTGGGAGATTTTGATAAGTCAAGGAGATGAGAAATGATTTAAGAGGATTTGAGAAAGCGAAGTAGAAGAAGATAAATTAAACTGCCATATTATTAGGGGTTTGATTTTGATTTTGATTTTTTTTTTTTTAATTTGAGTTTTTTTTAATATTTTTATTTAAAATAAAAAATGTTTAGACTGTTATAACATGTTTAATTATTTTAAAATAGCTTTTAGATAATTTAAGTATTTTTAAAAGTTAATTTATTTTTAAAAATGAATTTTTAAAGTTTTATATTTGAATGCGAATAGCTAACAAAACTTGATAGTTTTATGAGCCCTCAATTATTCATAGAGCACAAGTATTATACAAAATTATTATTTTATGAAATTTTTTTTTATTTTGCGCACATTTGCATTCAAAAAATGGATATTTAAATGCTGGAATCATGCTGCTGAACACAGTAATTATGTGCTCCAATATGTAAATATATTAGCTGAAAAATAAAATGAAAAATCCAAATGTTTTTTTTCTTGGTTATCTAGAATTTATTTATGAAGTCTATTTTGATAATTTTATAACATTAAGATAAATGCTAGCATTTAATATTTATAAAGTAGGGATGGATTATTAATTTTAATTTTTTTTTAAAAAAAAATTAGTAATATTTTCAAAATAAATAATTTTAGTATTTTATTAAAGTAGGTCCTAGTCAATATTCGCACTTTTTAGCTCAAAGGTCCCCATCATCTTACCCTTTTTGCATTTAATGTTAACATCAAGGTATATCCACTTTGATTTTATTTATTTATTTGTTTTTTTTTTTTTTTTTTTTTTTTTTTGGTTCAATGATTCAATTTCTTAACTGCATTGAATGTAAGTTTCACAATTATTAAATGGTTAATCTCAAAATATGGGACTAAAAATTAAGGAAGATTTGCATGTATACCACTCAATTCTTATTTATTTACATATCTAACACTACAAATTTTACATATAGCATTTTATTTATGAGAAAAAAATGTAGTTCCCTTTATAAAGTTGAAATAAAAATACTTTTTTGTGATATGAAATATTTCAGTGGTATAAATGTAAATATTGAAGTTTAGGTTTCCGATATATAAATACAAAAATTAAACCACACAATTCTTATGTATTTACATATCTAACATATACTCATTGTTAAAGTAGTGCTTTTTTTTTTTGTGACATGAAAAATTTAGGTGATAAATGTAAAAAATAAAATTTTGATGGTTGGATATGTAAACATGTAGGAATTGAGTGATATGCATGTAAATGGCCCCCAAAGTGAAATGTTTGAGTAAGAAAGTTTCCTTAAGCCTCATTTTAAATTAGAATATATTCAGTGCGGGCGCCCACCTCATTAAATGTTCTTACACCAGGAAGACTCAATTAGGGCCCAATCCACTGTTTACGGGCCGTTCAGGTAATTAGAGGGGGAAGCATGACATGGACTAGCGAATGCACTAACACCCGCTTTTCATTATAGCTGCATTTACTTACATACCAGTCGGTTCTTATGTATTTACATATCTGGCACCTAGATTTTTTTTTTGACATTTATACCATCTAAATTTTTCATATCACACAAACAAAAAATCACCATTTTTAAAATTTAGGTGTTAGAAATGTAAATGTATAAAACTTGAGTGGTATGTATGCAAATATTACTTAATTATATAAAGAATTACATAAATAAGCATAATGTCACGGACAAATAGTCCCACATTGGCTAGGTGTAAGACCGAAAAACAGATTTAAGTCTTGGGATGTTCACCTCTCTTAAGGGCTCTTTTGAGAGGTGACAAGTGGTATCAGAGCAGATTACTGTCTGCCAGTTGTGTGAACTCTCCATGGTCCAGTGGGACCCTCTGTGGAGCCGATCCGTGACGAGGGCGTCACGTGATTGGGTAGAGGAGAATGTCACGGACAAATAGTCCCACATCGGCTAGGTGTAGATATATATATTATTTATACTTTTATTATTGCACTTTGAGTGACTTGTGAGGTAGGGAAGGGGCGATCTCTACACCTTTGGTTTATCATCCAATTGTGTGATACAAAACATTAATTACAAAGGAAGACCGAACTTATCTAAAAAGATTTTTTTTTTTTTTTTTTTTGGTTAAATGATAAAAGTAAATCTCAAGATATTTGTTGAATTTAGGAACTCAAGATAGGTCAAATGGTAGGGTAAAGCTGAATGTAGCATCAAAATAAAACTATAAGACCATGAGATCATTAAAAAATATAATAAAATCATGCTTACAAAAATAAATGAAAAAAATAAAATTCAAACTTTTGCTTCAATTCTAGCCAGCGGGTTGGGTTTGACGCAAAACTGACTTGACATTTGGGTCAAAAATCCTAACCAGAACCTGATCTATCTTCAACCTGTTAACCTAAATCCAGCACGTATAACCCATTTAACATAAGGAATAACAACTATTAAGGTTAAAATTAGGTTAGTTTTGAGTTAATTTTGGATTAATTCATGACAGACAGTCAATTTTGAGTTAATTTCGGGTCAATCTATTGTTGATGGGTGGGTTATTTTCGGGTTGGTGAGTCAAATTGAACCCACCCCAAACATTATTCTGCCAGCCCAAATCCAAAATTTTTTAGTTAAATTCGGATCTTATTGATGTATGTGAGAAGTCACCCCTAAGTCCACGGCCGCCCTTCTAATACAACGGTCTCCCTATATCACTAATCTACCCCCCAACCAATTTCTCATCCAAAGTAAAATCAATGCAAGGTATTCCTGTAATAAACAACAACTTTAGTGGCATATAATTATTTATATTTCTATATAGCCTATCTTCACTGTTCATCTCAAATTCAACCAAGGTTGATAAGTAGCGAGAAGAAGCGAAGAAAAAGCCATGGCCGGAATGCAGTTACGTAATTTTGTAATGGAGGTGGCGCGCAACTCTCACCGGCCGCCGAAAGCATTCTTCTTCGAGGTGGCGCCATGGCAGCTTGCTTGTAGTAATGGGAAACAGCCCACCAGCACTCGTGCTCACTCCACGCTGGACCCTATCATGGAGGAAGATGGATTAGATCCGCTCAAACTTTATAGCTCTGTCGCAGAACCCTCTTCTTCTTCTTCTTCGTCGAGCTTTTTCTTTCGAGAATTGAAAAATGGAAAGCGTGATTAGTCGTTTTGTAAATATAATGTCCAGGTTGGTTTTGGACAATGCATGGCTTGTATATGTTTATATTTGGATTCTCTCTCTCTCTCTCTCACTCTCTCTCTTTCTTTCGCTACAGTGAAGCTTTTTGCATTTCTTCTGTATGATTTATTTAACGGCCTGTGTTCTAAGCAGTAATGGTCTTAAGACTAATTTGGGATTATATGCATTTATTTTGTGATTAAGTATGTAAAAAATAATTTTAAGTTGTTATTACTTTTTAATGGTAGCAAATGTTTTGATGTTGGTCACTAATTTGTTAATTTGATGTAAAAATTGAGGCTTAGGTGTTAGACATGTAGATAAAAAAACAATTTTGAAGTGGTATGTATGTAAATCTTCCTTTAAAAATTCAAATTTAACATTTCAACAGCTTCAACGAATAAAAATGATCACAGAAGGGAAATTAATAGGGAATTTAAATGCATACCACCCAATTCTCACGTATTGACCAACTCACAAACTTTACTTCTTTTACATTTCTAACCCCAAAAATTTCATAGTACATAAAACATACCACCATTTAAAAAAGGTGAAATACCCCCTTTTTATGCATAGGTAAGGTGGTATGTATGTTAAAAATGATATTTAGATGATAGGAGTAAATACATGAGAATTAAGCGGTATATATATATATATATATATATACCGCTTAATTCTCATAGACGGCAACATCTCATATATGTGCTAATTCAACCAAAATAGATTTAAACTTGGGACCAAGGAGGCTTACACGGAAGCTGCCAACCAAATTGCCACTCAGTTGTGCACATATAATTGACAATTTTTAGACAAAATTGTAGACAGTAGAGTTGAAACATAAAAATCACTTCAAAGTTTGAGCATTTGTTACACTCCAAATATCAGTGCTAGCACAGAGCACAAAAAGTCCTTAAATAGCAACTATAACTGAAATTGATAGCATTAGAAGGCTTCTGCATAAACTGGAGCAATCATCAACGCAGCCGATCTACAGAAGCTGCGCCCAAATATTATATTATGGCAACAACAAACAATCTGGCAATTTTAAAAAAATATAAAAAATAAATTGATTGATCACAATAATAATATGTGCGTCTGAATCCACTGTAAAGCTTGATTCTTACGATCAAAATTTTCATATAAAGATTGATTTCTTACAATGCTGAATAAGATAAAAATCTTTGCCAGGGAAAAATAAATGCAATTTCTAAATAATAAATACCACTATTTTAACTTCGTACATCATTTACATGCATACTGCATACTTCATATGTAATTACATTTCTAACACCTAAACTTCAATTTTTGACATACATGCCACTTTTACCTATGCATGTAAGAGTGTATTTCACGTTTTAAAAATGGTGTTGAACTTGTTATGATTCAAGCCTAGCTAAGATTGTTGTCGCCGTATCGTGTTACTCATGCATAACTAAGAGAATTAAGTTGTGATGAAAGTGGAAGATGTAAGCTCAGAGGCAACTCAACGATGTAGGTGGTGTGGTTAATATATTGACCTAATGGAAAATGTCCAAGTTCTTCAGGACTCAACATTGTGTATTGTCTCGAAGGGAACTGTTCTTTTCAAAGTTTAACCATGAAAAAATCACCTGGATTAAATATCTTTTGGCGCCTGTGAGTATCAGCTTGTGACTTGTATTTTGCATTGGATGCTTTAAGAGTGAAACGATGTGTTGAAGTAGACAAGTAATGTTCGATGCCATTGCGCCTTAAGCCATGTGATTGTATTTAGGAAGTACAACAATGGCTAAGGTATGGCTCGGTATAAAAGAAGACTAGAAAGGGATCATACTATAGATCGATAAGGCATAAATATGTAGGCAAATTGAACTTGTCCTAGGACTTGGTCCCATTATTTTGGATGTTATTGCACCAAACATCTTTAACATTTTATCGAAGATGCAATTCACAACTTCAACTTGTTAGTCTGTTTGAGGGCGGCTGAGCTCAATTGTAGAGTAGTTCACAAGCGTCTCCAAAGCTCTCTCTAAAATAGATTGACGAACTTAGCATTGCAATTTAGATGTGAGGATCCTAAGAATACCATGCAAGTAAACGAAGAGAGCACATTTTATGAGTCGCAGGTTCAATCTTGTTGTTGCTTTCAGAATGTTTGTAGGTTCCCGGAAGATACTAAGTTGCATCTCAACTTTATAAGCAAGATTTATCATTTGAAATGAAGACCATCGAGTTCAATTCCAATTTGTCTAGAATCTCAATTCATTGTCCCCCAATATAACAAGCGACAAATTGAGTGTTCAATTTATTGAAATTGTTTTGCTCGCTAAGGCGGTGGAATTCTTTAGTGTAGTAGCTTATAAATTTGAGTCCCTGTGCACAATGTTGATATTAGTCATATGGCATTTGCTCAAAGTCAATTGGTAAGAAACGCCCCCCTCCAAAACTTCTTCACTCCAAACCATCTCCATATTGAAACTTTTCTTTCCTGCCTTAGCATTTGTTGTAGCTGCAACCCCGCCTTTTAATCAAAAAGCTCTATATCACTCTTTTTTCTTCGGCGAAATTTTCACATACTAAAAGAAGGTTTCTACTGCTTGTTCCAAAGCCTAAATAACCATCGATGTGTAAGTGTCCATAAAAAAAGGGGACTTTTAGCATAACATGAAACTCCACCATGATTCCTTCTAGGAGCTAAATATTTGACTCCAACATTGTCATATTCATCATATGATTTTTATTCATTTAGAAAAAACTCACGATAAGGTTCCAAGCGAAGTCCTTCAGAGAGTTCTAGAGAAGAAAGGTGTTGATATGACTTATATTCATGCCATTAAAGATACGAATGCTAGAGCTATTACTTGCGTTCGAACAAAAGGAAGATTTACAAAGTGTTTTCCTATATCAATTAGATTACATCAAGGACCAGCTTTAAGCCCTTATCTTTTTGTTTTATTTATGAATGATCTTATACCTTCTTGAAAGAGTTCAAAAAATACTTTAATTATGGAGGTCTACATTGGAGTCTAGAGGCCTCAGTTTGAATAGAACTAAAGCTAATATATAGAATGTAATTTTAGTAATAATAGTTCTAGTGACAAAACTGTAACTATGGGTGATCAAATCATTAAAAGGTGGGAGCATTTTAGATATCTCGGATCCATTGTTCAAAGTGATGGTGATATAGATGGGGGTGTTATTAGTAGAATACAAGTTGGTTGGTTGAAGTGGTGGAATGCATCAGGCCTATTGTGTGATAGAAAAATACCACTTAGACTGAAAAAAAAAAAAAGTTTATAAGATGGTGGTGAGACCTGCAATGTTTTATAGCACAGAATATTGACATTAAAAAAAGAAGCATAAAACAAAATTAAGTGAGATGAGAAAGGTTAGCTGGAGGAGTAGCTTGACACTTACAGACAAATTCGAAATAAATATATTTGTGCAGGGTTAGAGTAGCTTCCGTGGCGAACAAGATTGGAGAGAGTCGTCTTAGATGGTTTGATCACATTAAACATTGACCACTGATGATCTGGTTAGGAGAGTAGATTTAGTAGATTTGACTTATGCTAAGAAAGGCAGAGGTAGAGCTAAAAAGAATCGAGCATATTATATAAAAAATAATCTCAAACTATCAAGTTTTAAATGAAAATATGACACTCAAGAGGACGCAATGAAGAAAAAGGATTCATATAGACGACCCCACTTTAGTGGGATAAAGACTTGTTGATGTTGCATTGTCATGTACACAAATCCAAACACTTTGTCACACCCATTTCATCATTTGATTCACAATTTGTTGAAAGTTTATCCAATAAATGCATCGTGTCGCGGTATCCTGTAAGAATGAAAAAAGTAGGTATGGATGTTAAACTCCCTAATTTCATCGTCAGATTAGTAGAATTTCCCGATTTGAGGATATAAATCTTGCATCACAATTCCATGCTAGTTTAGAAATTTGGTGGAGAGTGTTGTAACCGATGAGTGAGATTCTCTCTTTGTTCAACTACGCCCGCCCACTTCGTCGGCAACAACACGATTTCCCATGATTCGTCTTCTCTCACCCGCTTCCAAGTCTCGCCAAAATTTTACAGAAACTATAAATACGGTAGCTAACTTTTTGAAATTTGATCCTGTGATAGGAACTTTGCAAAACTATCCCGTTGTTGCCCACTATTTACCTTCTCTTTGCCCACCCCCCCAACTCTCGTTCTCAGCCTCCTTTCCCGATTCTCATTAACCTGTTTGGTTACTTCTGCTACGCCCGCTCGCTTTACTGGCGGTAACATTGTTTCCCGAGATTTATCTTCTCTTGCCCATTTTCGCGTCTCTTGCACCCCCACCCTCCCGCACTCTCGTACTCAGCCTCCCTTTCAATTTCTCAGCAGCCCGCTTTGTTACTTCTGCTATGCCCAACTGCTTCGTTAGTGGCAGCGCTATTGCCCCTGATTCGTATTCTCTAGCTTGCTTTCCCATCCCCCCCACCGATAGCCTGTAACCTTCCATCTGGTCAGCCCACCAGCTCTATAGACAACACACTTCTATTTCGGCTAGCCCACCCGCTCCCATACCGCAAGCCCAAATCCGCAAGATCGCTTGCCTGCTACCTACCCTTCACAACTCACCTGATCATCAACTGACGACCTTTTGTTCCAAGGAACCCCAACCTTACATGCACCCCCAACCCTTCACACTCTCGTTCTAAGCCTCCTTTCCCAATTCTCAGTAGCCAGCTTTATTAATTAGCTACACCCTCCTACTTCACCGATGACATCTCCGTTGGCCCCTGATTTGTCTTCTTCCGTCCGCTTCCCCATCTCTTTGCCCCCAGCCCATCTGCTCTCCTCCCCTGGTCGGTATCTAGCAACCATTCGTTTGGACAAGCCCGCCTACTCCATAGCCTGAAAACTTCTGCTACGCCCAACCGACCTTTTCCCTAGCCCGCAAGTCCCTGTCCGCCAGCTCACAACTTGCTACCTGCAGTTCACAACACACTCGACTCCAACCCACAAGCTTTCCTTCCAACCAGCCAGGTGTTAGATACATAAATGCATATTAATTAAATGTTTTGTATGAAAAGTTTGAAAATTTTGAATTAGGATATCCAACTAAAAATTAATTATAATGAGTTCTAAGTTCTTAATTAAATTTTGATGAGGAAATTGCAGTAAACCTAGATGCAGCCATTCGCTCTTAAGTCTTACTTTTCACTTAATTATTTCATTTCATTGTATTTTAAATGTATTATAAATTAAATTTATTCTTTATAATTTTTGAAGATTAAAGCCTTATTTAGGAGAAATATTATTTGTTTTATCCCGAAAGATTTTTCAAAAAAAAAAAATCAAAGTTATCAATATCAAAGTTATCAATAAATATAGAAAAAAAATCAAAGTTATCAATAAATATAGAGAAAAAAACAAAAATGAAGAATGAAGTTCAAAACATCATTCTTTGAAGATTACATCCTTGAAAAAAAAGTGATACCGGAGTTAACCCAAACAGCGACAGATAGAAAGTATTATTGCAAAAATACAGTGAAATTACAACAAAATGCTCTTAAAACAGGAATAAAATGACAAACACAAACAATGTCCTAGGGTGACAACGAAAGCGGTGGAAGGCAACTGAACAACATAAAGGTTGGTTGGCGGGGATGTTGCAGCAGTAACAAAAAGGCTGAAAGGGGGACATCAACAACACTCAGGAAATCTTGAGAGTTTGCGACAATAAATAGTAAGGATTGAGAGCTGGCCGTAGAAATAGGGAGAGGTAGATGAAGGAGCAGAGGTCGGGTAAACAGCCCCTGCGTCAGTCTCTCGAGGTTGGAATTTGGTAGGTCAATCTTGTAGGCATTGTCGTTAAGCTTCTTAAAAATTATTAAAGGTTCATCTGCTCTGGGTTTGTGTTTTTCAAAAGCTCCCACTAGAAACCTTTCTTTCTTTAACAAAATCCACACAAGTTCTCCTTGAAAAGTCATTTTTTTCCTAGTCTTATTTGCATGTATTTGGTACTTTTGATTCTGTTTGGTGATCACCTTTCCTACATGCTTTTGA